GCCCTTCTCTCAGCCCGCCAACAACCTAAACCCCCCCCGCCAACAAGCCAAACAAACAAACAACAACGCCAGTTCGGCCGCCCCGTCCGCCGCCCTGACGACTGCCTCCAACCGCCACCAATCGCCACCAGCTGCATCGTACTGCCACCAATCACCACCAACCGCCGCCGACCGCCGCCGACCGCCGCCGACCGCCATCAACCGCCACCAACCGCCGCCCGCCCCAAACCCACAGGTCCAGATCGCCGAGTTCAAGGAGCGCCCCGGCGCCAAAGATTACGTAATGGCGACTGTCCTCGTGGAGCGGCCCGGGCAGAGGGGCATCCTGCTTGGCGCCGGCGGCGCCGCCCTGAAGAAGCTGGGCAGCGAGGCGCGCCGCGACATTGAGGAGTTCCTGGGGCGCCCCGTGTTTCTGGAAATCAGCGTGCAGGTGGCGCCCGACTGGCGGCAGCAGTCTGACAGGCTGAAGGAGTACGGCTACTTTGACCCGCTGTACGTGTCGTGATCTGATCTGGCTGCCCGCGGTCTCACCTGGCGACGCCGCAGCCTCGCTGCTGTGGGGGCCGCCTGCTGGTGCGAAGCGGAGCGTAGCAATGCCGTCTCGCTGGCTCGAGGCCGGCGACGTCGCTATCAAATAGCAATGACCAGGCGCAGGTGTTGATCCCCTTGGGCTGCTCCATTTTAAGATACGGCAATCAACCCTGGTTTCAACCCCGCGACCCGTCAGTCGCCAGTCCCCAAAGCTGAGCTGCCTGGCACCCGCAAAGACCCCCAGAGCAGCGGCCGACGCGGTCAAGTGGTCGGCGCCCCGCGCGGCGCCCCCGCCTGGAAGCAGCCGTCGACCAGCAACCGCCTGAAGCGGTCCTTCGCAAGGCCCTCCACCCCTCGGGATGTCAGAGATCAGAGGTTTGGCACCGCGCCCAGGCCAGTGCGCGCAACGCTGTGGCGGCGTGGTTGCAATCAAGTGTCGAAGTGTCGAGGGGTCTGCTCGACCGAACCCCCTATGGTGCAAGATATAAGTTGAGCGGCCAACAACCTCGGCGTGGGTTATGTGGCGCCGCCCACCGCCATCACTGCCCGCACGGTCAGCCGTTTGACTGCTGATGTTGACTGCACCGAAGGGAGGATTGACGTGACGTGCGAAAAACAACTTTGTGTGCGGGCAAAGCCGACACCGGATATCGCTGGGTGACCCAGCGATACAACCCTGGCGGACCCGCCGCTGGGGCAAAGACGCCGCCGCAGCAAAATACGGCGG